TATATATATATATATATATATATAATAGAATGCAGAATCCAAAAGGGCAGTGTTTTAAACATTTTAATGAAAGTTCATATCAAACAAGCTCTTCATATTGACCCCTTTATGGATTCATGCTAACAGTCCTCTTTTTAAATTCCAGCTGACAATGAATCGTGACCAGAAGCTGTTGAATCAGCTGGGTTTCTCTGATGAGCAGAGTCTGACGGTAAAGAGCTCAGGAACAGGTACTCCATCAGGCAGTTCAGCGGACAGCTCTGCCTCGGCCAGCTCCAGCAGCAGCGGGGTCTTTAACTCTGCGTATGCTTTGGAGCAGGTACATACACTCACTGAACTGACAACTCACAATTTCCTGATACTTATTGGATCAAGTACACACTTGTGTACAGAATACATACACTACCTTTCAAAAGTTTAGGGTCTGTAAGATTTTTTTTTATGTTTTTGAAGTCTCTTATGCTCACCAAAGCTGCATTTATTTGATCAAAAACAGTAATATTTTGAAATAAGTTAAACATGTATTATGTTCCTTCAGAAAACATTCTTAATATACACTACTTTTTTACTACAATTTAAAATAACTACTTAATGTTTTAATTAGTGCTGTCAATGATTAATCACATCCAAAATTAAAGTTTTTGTTCTCATAATATATGTGTGTGTACTGTGTATATTTATATATAATATAAATTATATGAATATAAATATATATGTGAAAATATTGTCAATGTATACTGTATGTGTGTGCATTTATATATACATAATAAATATACACAGTACACACACATATATTATGTAAACAAAAACTTTGTTTGGATGCGATTAATCGTTTGACAGCACTAATTTTTATATATTTTAAAATGTAATTTATTTATGTGATGCAAAGCTGAATTTTCAGCAACATTACTTCAGTCTTCAGTGTCACATGACTCTTCAGAAATCATTCTAATATGCTGATTTGCTGCTCAAGAAACATTTATTATTATAATCAATGTTGAAAACAGTTGTGCTGATTATTATTTTTGTGTAAACTGTGATACTTTTTGTTCAGTATTCTTTGATGAATAGAAAGTAAAAATGTATAATAATTTTTTTTATATTATAAATTTATACTTTTTAATATCTAAAAATATTTGAATCTGTAGAGCTGATTTAATAAAAAAATGTTATGACAGCCAGCATTTAAATTATTATATCTTCTCACTGGTTTGAAATGGAAAATGAGTTTCCAGGTCACATGGTATTGACTGTTGCTGGATCTGTTTCAGGACCTGTATTCTGTTCCTCGAACTATTCTACCTCATGGAGCGTCTTTCCACGGCCATCCTGTTACACTTCACATCACATACGAATCTACCAAAGACACATTCACCTTGGAGGTAACATCACATGCACACACGCACACTTCTTGCAGTTCTGGCGCTCATGACTCAAATGCACACACTTATGACAGACTGTAAACAGGGTTGATATAAATGGAAGACTTGATATACATTCTCCCTGTTTGGAGAATAGAAGAGCATTGATAAATGGCAGGTGGAGGTTCGGCGTGAGAAACTAAATGTGATATTAATAAACAACAGTCTATTGGGTGATCGTGACTCAACTGACTGACTGGAATTTGCTGTGCCTGATTTGAATGGGCGAATCGAAACGGCCCTTATGTGTTTGTGTTCATGTGAATGTGTGCAGGCCCACAGCAACGAGACCATAGGCAGCATCAGATGGAAGATAGCCGAGCAGCTCAGCTGTCCGGTGGACAATGTGCAGATATTTGCCAATGACAGCATGGTGAGTCAAACACTAACTGCGATTGGTCGCAGTCATATCTGAGCGGTGCACAGGTGCCAAACACTCCTACAGCACAGGCCAGCACTCTGTGAGAATGTGGCAGCTATTATGACCGCATGTGGAGGCTTGGTTCTCAGACCGATTTCTAATTATAGTTAACAATATGCATTCTTTATTCTTATTGCTTATTGTTACCAGTGTTATTTTGGTGTTATGTACTATTTTAGTTTTCATTCATATTTTGAATAAGCCTTTATTTTTATGTTTTCAGTTTTTATTTTCATTTGTTAAATTTTTAGTAATTCTGTCATATGCTTTTGTAATTTTTTATATTTCCAAATAGTTTTAATTTGCTTGTTTTTTTATTTCAATTTTAGTTTTATTACAGCTAGTTAAACTTGTTTCAGTTAGTTGCTAATGTAAGATGTCTAATTTTCATTTAATTATCATCTAATATTTATATTTCATTTTATTTCAGGTTTTGTTCATCAAACAAAAATGTTTTTAATAGTTTAAGTTTTGATTTTATTTATTGATAATGACAGTGAAAACTGAAACTAGGACTAGTTTTCCTAGTTATAGAGAGAGAACAATAAACATAGTTTGTTTGTGTTGATTGTTACCAGTGTTATTTTAGTATTTTTTATACTATTATAGTTTTTATTGATCTGAATTAGCTTTGTAATTTTATTAGGTTTTGTTTTTTTAAATATTAGGGGTGTAACGGTACACGTATTCGTTTGTTTTTCATCTAATATTTATATTTTATTTTATTTTTATTTCCACTAACAAAAATTTTGTTTAAATAGGTTCAGTTTTGGTTTAAGTTTTAGTTAAAAGATTTGTTACTAAAATGGCCAATAATTAGGCATTTTGAAATAACTGCCTACAGAAGTCTGAACTTCAAAACTTTCAAATGTTTCATTTAAAAAAAAATAATAATAATAATATTTTAAGCATTTTTATAAAAGTTCATATTAAACAAGCTCTTCATATTAACCTATATCTGTTTGTATTATGGATTCATGCTAACAGTCTTCTTTATAAATTCTAGCTGACGATGAATCGTGACCAGAAGCTGTTGAATCAGCTGGGTTTCTCTGATGAGCAGAGTCTGACGGTAAAGAGCTCAGGAACAGGTACTCCATCAGGCAGTTCAGCGGACAGCTCTGCCTCGGCCAGCTCCAGCAGCAGCGGGGTCTTTAACTCTGCGTATGCTTTGGAGCAGGTACATACACTCACTGAACTGACAACTCACAATTTCCTGATACTTATTGGATCAAGTACACACTTGTGTACAGAATACATACACTACCTTTCAAAAGTTTAGGGTCTGTAAGATTTTTTTTTATGTTTTTGAAGTCTCTTATGCTCACCAAAGCTGCATTTATTTGATCAAAAACGTAATATTTTGAAATAATTTAAACATGTAATATGATCCTTCAGAAATCATTCTAATATGCTGATTTGGTGCTCAAGAAACTTTTTTTGGAAACTGTGATACATTTTTTCTTGATTCTTTGATGAATAGAAAGTTCCGAAGAACAGCAATTATTTGAAATAGTACATCCGTTTTTATGTTACAAAAGATTTATACCACTTTTGATCAATTTAATATGTAAATAAAATAGATTTTATTCAGAAAAAAAAAAAAAACTTGCAGACCCCATCTGATAAGTAGTATATCTGAGAAGAAGTGTATCTCAACCTACTTTATTAAACTCGTGTGTGTGATTGCAGGAGAAATCTCTTCCTGGTGTGGTCATGGCGTTGGTGTGTAATGTCTTTGAGATGCTTTATCAGCTCGCCAATTTGGAGGAACCCAGGTAAAATCCCACTACCCCTGCAAGTTATACAATTATTTATTTAAGAGGATAGTTCACTCCAAAATTGTAATTCTGTCATTATTTATTCACCCTCATGTCATACTAAACCTGTATGATGTTTTTTCTTTACTTTTGAATGGTCAGTTTTTCCTTTCTATTTGCGGACATACGTTGTGTGTATTTTGTGATTTCAGTTGACTTGTAATAACTGTGTGGCCTTCTTGTTCCTGTCCAGAATAACTTTGCGTGTCAGGAAGTTGTTGCTGCTTATCCCGACCGACCCAGAGGTGCAGGACGCCCTTGATAACTTTGTGCCAAAAGAGTCCAGCGTCTGGAGTCACCAGGTACCTGAAAGACACTCTTTGACTTGGATAATTGTAATTGTAATTACAATTACAAGCTTAATTCTAAGCTTAAAAAGCAGTTTCCACATACATAATATGAAATGAACATTCACCACTATCTTCCTTACAGGTGCTGAGCTCCAAGCTGATGCCCACATCTGATGATGAAATGGCAAAGACCAGTGTCAAATCTTTCTGTGAGAACTTCCTCAAAGCGGGAGGTCTCAGGTAGCCGTCTGCATTCCACCCACTTTTACACTGCTCCTCATGTTGATAATTCTGCAGTCTTAATGTGGCTGTATATTTTGATCATTAATTCTCTCAGTGGTGCATTGTCTCTCTCTTGTCTCAGTCTGGTGGTTAACGTCATGCAGAGAGACTCCATCCCCTCTGAGGTGGACTACGAGACCAGACAGGGAGTCTATTCCATCTGCCTGCAGCTGGCCAGGTGCGGTCTCATTTATCAATCTGGCTGTCTTCTCTTTCCCTGTTTCTCTATTTTGTTATTTTGTTCACATCTTTTCTTTGAATTCGGCACTCCAAGTGATGGGCAGCATAATAATATTTCTTTAAAAACCATTGTGTTCTGTTCCAGTCTTTTTTTACCCAGATGAAAATTATAAAAACTTTGTGTCTGAGAACATCCCTTAGACTTTTTGCAATATTTCTATAGTTCCTAAGAAAAATATTAATAATGTTTCAGAATATAAAAATTATTTCAAATGAAACAGTATACATGTTTCTACTGCTCAAGTGCAGTACCTCCACTGACATTTAGGTGGCCTGGTAAAATGCTTCTATGTAAGCCTAAGACTATTGTGAAAACTTCTAGATAAACATATACAACTATTCATGTACAAAATTATTAGGAGAGTGCTGTAAACTTTCTAAAGTTACATTAAAGTCTATACGGGACATTTTTTTTACGAAAAATAACAGGTGTATTTTTTATAGCTAGCTAAGCCATTTAATTTAGTTCTGAAATGTATCAGCAAAGTAGTTCCATCTAATTAAATATGCACTGCCATCCAGTGCATGTGTGCTTGTAATTTTTGTAAGTATGAGTTTATGTGAAATATTTATATGTAATATGTATTTTGTTTGTGATTTATTAGAGTATTGGGTCCATTAGCTTAGCAGCATGCTAATGTCAAAGTTGTGAGTTTAACCCAAAGTATACTTTAGTTTTTACACGAATTTCATCATATGTGACCCTGGAGCACAAAACCAGTCTTAAGTCACTTGGGTATATTTTTAGCAATAGCAAAAAAATAAAACATTGTATGGGTCAAAATTATCGATTTTTCTTTTATGCCAAAAATCATTAGGATATTAAGTAAAGATCATGTTCCATGAAAATATTTTGTACATTTCCTACTGTAAATATATCAAAACTGAAGTTTTGATTAGTAATATTCATTGCTAAGAACTTCATTTGGACAAATTTAAAGGCGATTTTCTCAATATTTAGATTTTTTTGCACCCTCAGATTCCAGATATAGTGCCGTTAAATCACTCCTTGCTGCGGTGCATTGATTTAGTGCAAGTGGGGCACATGTTTTCACAAATTAAAACGGAGACAGCTGCACATTTCTGTCATATTGCACTATAGTGTGTCATTCTCAAAATATCAAACTGTTCTGGATGGACGTGTGAATTCAGTCTTATGTGACCCTGGACCACAAAACCATTCATAAGTCGCTGGGGTATATTTGTAGCAATAGCCAAAAAACATTTTATGGGTCAAAATTATCGATCTTTCTTTTATGCCAAAAATCATTAGGATATTAAGTAAAGATCATGTTCCATGAAAATATTTTGTAAATTTCCTACTGTAAATATATAAAAACTGAAGTTTTGATTAGTAATATGCATTGCTAAGAACTTCATTTGGACAACTTTAAAGGCGATTTTCTCAATATTTAGATTTTTTTGCACCCTCAGATTCCAGATTTACAAATAGTTGTCCAAATATTGTCCTATCCTAACAAACCATTCATCAATGGAAAGCTTATTTATTCAGCTTTCAGATGATGTATAAATCTCAATTTCGAAAAATGTAAGCTTTTGTGGTCCAGGGTCACATATAGTATGCGTATATTGTACACATGCAACCAGGTCCACAAGGTTGCAACACTGGCTGCCTGTTTTTCTAAGACCTGTACAAAAATAGCCAGTTATGCTGCTTGATATTGCAAACTGGTATTTGTTATAATATTATTTTAATTGTAATTATTATCATGATCAAAAACACACTTGTTTGTAGTGCAAATAGTTGTACCGTTTACTGCTAGTTCTTCTAGTTATGTGCCAATAGCAGCTAATGAATCAAAAGTCTCGCACTTTCACAGAAAATAGGTTAATTCTGCGTTGCAAAATAAGGTGGATAATTTGGGCTTTAGCATTTGTTAAAGGACTTGCTCTTTGTCTCCTCCTGTAGGTTCCTGCTGGTAGGGCAGGCTATGCCTAGTATGCTCGATGAGGAGTTGAGCAAGGAAGGTCTGGACACTCTGTCCTCTCGGCCGTTCCGTAACGCCGGGCGTCAGAGCGGCCGACAGCTCTCCGTCTGCGGGACTCCAGAGAAGTCCTCCTACAGGCAGGTGTCCATGTCTGACAGATCCTCCATCAGAGTGGAAGAAATCATCCCGGCCGCCCGTGTCGCCATACAGGTGTGAGAGAGCATCCGATGCTTTACTAAACAAATCAGATTTATTTCTGATCTTCTCTGACTTCTCTGGTTTGTCATTGCAGACAATGGAGGTGGGAGACTTCACATCCACAGTGGCGTGCTTCATGAGGCTCACCTGGGCAGCAGCTGCAGGCCGATTGGACCTAGTTGGAAGCAGCCAGCCAATCAGAGAGACGACTAACTCGCTTCTCCCGCTGGGTGTTCGCAGCAGGGTCAGCAGCACAGGTGAGACTCTGATCGGTACTGGATATCTCCCTTTTAGTCGGACTTGTGCATCACTCTAAATGTTCGTGCTCATGTGTGTGTTGCAGGAAGTAACTGCAGCTCAGGCAGTGAGGGAGAGGTCACCACGTTGCAGGCTGGGATATGCGTCAAACAGCTGTTTGTGTCCATCAAAGACACTATTATTGCAAGAGAAGCACTCTCTTTACTCGTCACATGCCTTCAGCTACGCTGCCAACAGCTATGTAAGAAAGAAAAAAAACACTGACACATGCGAAATAGTCATCAAGAATCAAAACACTTAAGGAGTCGCTTTGTTTCCTGTTCTCTTTCAAGCTTCATTTTACAATCTGCCTTCTGTGAATGATTTCATCATTGATATTCTGCTGGGGTCGCCCAGTGGAGAGGTCAGTGTTTGCGTTGTAGTCCTGACAAAATTAAACTTGTCTCTTATTAAGTATGACCTCTGAGTCCAAATGTCTAAACTCCTCCTTTGTTCACAGATCCGACGTGTAGCGTGTGATCAGCTGTACACTCTCAGTCAGTCAGACACCTCTGCATACCCTGACCTCCAGAAGCCCAACCTCTTCCTGCTGAAGGTGGTTCTGACAGCCCAACTTCCTCTCTGGTCTCCCACCAGCATCATGAGGGGCATTAACCAAAGGTCAGAAACACTAAACACATTATTTCTTCTCTCTTAGGGGAGCAGTTAGTAATCTTATTTCTCTAAGTGTATAATGACAAATGAGACTTAAATGAAATTCTTACTATAACAGGCCCACAAAGTAATTAAAACACTGTGTAGACATTAGAAAAGCTATGAAATGATGAATATCTACTGAGCTAAGCTGATGATCGTGTTTTTAGGTTGCTTTCACAATGCACAGAGTATTTTGATCTGAGGTGCCAACTACTGGATGACCTGACCAGTGAGTGTTTCTGCCTTATTTTCATAATAAGTATATAATATAAATGTCAGTTTTCACAAAAAAAATGCACTTTGGTCTCCCATTATTTATTTTCTGATTATTCAGTCATTCCATGATTTTGATTATAATAAATATAGTTCATTGTAGTAAAAAAGTATTTGTAATTATTAACTAATTTAATTATGAAAACATTTTGCCCCACGTTTTTTTTACTTGCAGCCCTGTTTTTTCCTTATTAAAAATAATAGTAATAACATTCTTTAAAATTGTGATACATCATGTGGAGTGTTTCTACAGCATGGAGGAAAAAAACAACGAATCTCCTTGAGTTTTCTAGTGTAATGTTGACTGCATTTATCATTCTTCAACCCTGTTACCCAAGTTATTGTTAGAAAATGCAGACAAATGTTTGTTTATTTATTTATTTTTCATTTATTTGAAATTTTAAATCATCAACTACTTAATCAACACTTAGTCCCAGACCTGATAGTCCTTATTGAATGATTACTTGGTTTAAGCCTATATTTCTAGCCCTGTTACCCATTTTGCCTACAGTATGATATTATAAACATTTTATATATATATTTTAGGGCTGTCAAAATTAACGTGTTAATAACGCAAATTAATTTTAACGGCACTAATTTTATTAACGCGCGATTGATGCAGCGCATATTTTCTGTTTCAGGGTTTCCGCGGGTCCTTAAAAAGGCTTAAGAGGTCTTAAAATTAGTTGCATCATATTTAAGGCCATAAAAGTCTTTAATTGTACAAGAAAGTCTAAATTTTGCTTTCAAGAGGTCTTAAATTTGGGGAGGGAAAGACAAGAATTGCAATATGGCAGCTCCTGCGCTGCTTTGTTTACAGTCGGAGAACCCGCTCTATTTTTGCCGTTCCGACAGCGCCTCCTGCTGGCAGAGAATGAATTTGCATTTTTAATAAGCCAGTCTGGTGTTATTGCTCAGATCAATGTGAACATCCACCCATGTTTTTATGTAGCAAACACGAAGTTGTAAATGTGAACTGGTAGATTGATAAGAAGATAATGCATTATAAAAATCTAAACAATTAAAGGGTTAGTTCAGGTGTATTTGACTTTCTTCTTTCAGACGAATCCAGTCGGAGTTATATTAAAAATTGTCTTTGATCTTCCAAACTGTTTAATGGCAGTCAGCAGGTGTTGCAGTGCTTCAGTCCAAAAGAAGTGAAATAAAAAGCACCCATTCATAATAAAAAGTGTCTCACACGGCTCCGGGGGGTGAACAAAGGCCTCCTGTAGCGAATCAATGCAGTTCCGGGCGGATGACGTATGAAGTCGTCTTTCCGCATGCGCCGCTCAAAAGTAACGAACGCGGAAGCGCAGGGGAGAGATCAAAACAACGGTCACGAATTAGAAGTACAAAACGAGGATTTGTAAAGAAGAATGTTGGAGGATTTCGATATAAGCCAAGAGGAGACTGGTTTTCCTTTGCTAAAGTAAGGAAACTTTGCTTCCTTTGCGCCTGTTAACACTTTAATTCCATATTGTGACATACTTCCGAGAGGAATTAAATATTGAATGAGAAAAACAGAGGGCGTGGCTTGTTTTCTACTACGAACTGATTGGATGTAGTAAAGTAGGCGGTTTCATTCAGAACAACACTGACAGTTGGAGGGGCGTGTTTAAGGATGTTATGCTCAAGCCCAAGCCGTCAAACTGACGCCATCAGAGGAGGTCCGTCTTTTCAGAGGGGAGGTGCATTTTCAGATTTGGATTAAAGAATACGAAGGCAAACCAATTTTTTTTTTGTGGATTGACTTGCACGGATTAATTGTTCACCATAAAAATAGAGTGTGCGCTAACAAAATAAATAGTCAATTTTGATTTCATGTGTACTTTAAAAACTTAAAAGGTATTAATTTAAAATACATTTAGAACAGATAAAAATGTGCGATTAAGTTGCGAATAATCACAAGTTAACTCATGACAATCATGCGATTAATCGCGATTAAATATTTTAATCGATTGACAGCCCTAATATTTTTACATTTATTTACATTTCCTATTTAAAAAATCATTGAGTTATTTTGTTGTTTTTATTGCTAGAAAAGACCAGTGACCAACTATATTCATGATTTCGGTATCGGGGTTATAAATATTGAAAATGAATGGAGCATTAAATAAAAAGCTTGATGATCAATATTTATATGAGATTATCAATATTTTATGAACGTCAACTAAACAGTTCACTAAATCATTTGCTCAATGTAGATTGTGACGTAGATTTTAAACCCAGATGAAAATAGCGCAAAAAAGCTTAAAATTAACCAGTTTTCTCCAACAGTTAAAATTATCGGATGCTAACATTGTCTTCTATGATGTGCAACACAAACACCTCTGCTAAAATCTCAGAAAAAGTAGTCTGGGGTTTCATGACCCTTTAAATACATTGATACGCAAGTTGCTAAAACTGCCTTTAGTAATTGTGTCTGTGTCTCAGGTGCAGTACGGTCAGCAGTCGTCTGGCGGCGTACGAGGTGCTGGTCATGTTGGCCGACAGCTCTCTTACTAACCTGCAGCTCATCACTAAAGAACTGTTGTCCATGCACCACCAATCTGACCCATCTCTCACCAAAGAGTTCGACGTGAGTCCCCTCACCAGTCCTTATATCTCTTGGATGAAGTAGAAATTATTTTTAATTGCCCTGTTCTGCTATAAGGACTTACAACAGATACTTGCGTACATTTCTGTCATTGTGTGTGTTGGCAGTATCTTCCTCCTGTAGATAGTCGTTCTGTGTCTGGGTTTGTGGGACTGAAGAACGGAGGTGCAACCTGCTACATGAATGCAGTGTTCCAGCAGCTCTACATGCAGCCTGGTTTGCCTGAGGTAAATGTTGCTCTCTTATTATCACTAGTGTAAGGTTAGCACACACTCTCACCACTAGGTGACGCCCTAACCTAGAAGTAGTAGGAGTGAACTGGATAGAGGAAGTGTTTATTGCTGTATTGTGTTTGTGTGACATAGTTTGTTTTAAAATGTAATTTCTTAAAATTTGAAAAACTAGTTTTTCATTAGTTTTAGTGTAGTTTTTTAAAAACATTAGCACCACAAATTGTTCCATCTACTACCTATGGTGACGCATAATACACTATTAAAAACATCATACTCAATACTGCAGTGAATGAATCCAATATTTACGGATAGTCAGAAGTCAGCATTGAAAATATTGAAACTGAAGTTATTTTCATTGTAATTCTATTTCGTTTTTTTATCCTATTTGTTCACTACATTTATAGTTTCTGAACTTTTTCAATCTCAATTATTTATATATTTATATATATATATATATATATATATACACTGGCATTCAAAAGTTTTAGATTTTCTTTTAAATAACACTTTTGTTCAGCAAGGACACGTTGAATTGATCAAAAGACATTTATAATGTGTCAAAATATTGTTGTTTTTAATTAAATTGTTCTTTTGAAGTTTCCATTCATTAAAAAAAGTCCTGGAAAAAATGTCATGTTTTCCACAAAAATATTAAGCAGCACAACTGTTTTCAGCATTGATAATAATAAGATAATGTTTTTGAGCAACAAATCAGTATATTAGAGTGATTTCTGAAGGATCGTGTGACACTGAAGACTGTCACTTTAGAAAACTGTTATTTTAAAGTGTAATAATATTTCACAATATTACTATATTTTTCATTAAATAAATGCAGTCTTGGTGAGTATAAGAGACTTTCAAAAACAATCTTACTGGCCCCAAACATTTGAATGGTAGTATATTACTGACTACGTACTTCATTGTTCTCATCACTTGGTTGATCTTGATGCAGATATTTAAGATGTGGAATAAAGAATTATATGTACGAGAACAGCAGGACGCCTATGAGTTCTTCACCAGTCTGGTGGATCAGCTTGATGAACATCTAAAGGTACAGCTCACCTGATGTCCCCTGCAAACTCAAATGCTCATACACAGTCTGAAGTGTGTTTGTAATTCGCCTGATGTCTTCCTCATAGAAAATCGGTCGAGAGCAGATCTTCAGAAACACATTCCAGGGCATTTTCTCTGATCAGAAGATATGTAAAGACTGCCCACACAGGTAAGGCTTAAAGGAACAGCTCATAGTTTACTCGCTCACATATCATTCCAAACCCATTTTCTCAAGAAGACTTCTTAACAACATTGACTTGGGTATGGTTTTTAGGTACGAGCGCGAGGAGACGTTCATGGCTCTGAACTTAGGGGTGACATCCTGTCAGAGTCTGGAGATCTCTCTCGATCAGTTCGTCAGAGGAGAGGTCCTGGATGGCAGCAATGCTTATTACTGCGAGAAATGTAAAGAGAAGGTACCGTCTGATGTGTTCTCATTCATAAAGACCTGCAGGGAAATACAGCTGTACGTTGTGCTCACACATTCTGTGTTGCAGCGTATCACAGTGAAGCGGACCTGTATAAAGTCTCTGCCCAGCGTGCTGGTCATCCACCTCATGCGATTCGGCTTTGACTGGGAAAGCGGCCGGTCCATCAAATACGATGAGCAGATCCGAGTAAGACTATACGCAGCTGCAGCTCTGCTTCAGTTCACATGTTATGTAGTGCTGGCCTGCAACTGATAACTTATCAAAAAACGATTAATTTGTTGATTATTTCCTTATACACTACCATTTGGGGTTGGTAAGATTTTTTAAATGTTTTTGAAAGAAGTCTATTATTTAATTAAAAATACAGGAAAAGCGGTAATCACTTTAGAAAACTGTTATTTTAAAGTGTAATAATATTTCACAATATTACTATATTTTTCATTAAATAAATGCAGTCTTGGTGAGTATAAGAGACTTTCAAAAACAATCTTACTGGCCCCAAACATTTGAATGGTAGTATATTACTGACTACAATACTAATATTTTAACTCAATTGTTGTTGTTTTTTCCCCAGTTTTTGTGTAACAACTTTTTTTTGGAGATTGTCTTTATAATAGGTTAACAATATTAACCTTGTGTATGTTATAGGCTGTCTTGTCAATTGAAGATGACATTGAAAACCCAGAGGAGAGTGTGTTCTGTCAGGTGCAGTCTCTGTTTGGTCACCTGATGGAGAGCAAACTACAGTACTACATACCTGAGAACTTCTGGAAGGTGAGATCTACCTTTATGATTTGGCTGGAAACGTTCGACATGCACACAGTGAACTGAATTTGGAATAAATGCTGCCAAATGTCTAAAATACTAAAGAGAAATTTCTAATGTCAGATGAGAAATGTATTTAAAATCTACTTTTATTTGATCTGTAGTTTATTAGACCCTCCACAGCATTTGAGGAAAAAGATATCAATTTGAGATGCTTACATGAAAGTCATGCATATTTAGAATGCACTGTATTGTTGTAATGTATTTATATATATATATATATACAGTGGGTACGGAAAGTATTCAAAATTATATTTAAAATTTCGTTTTTTTGTGATTAAGCTATAGCGTTTCTGCATTTATACTAAATGTATTTAGACTACTGTTTTTCATACAGATACTTAGAAACCATGTAGTTATATTTTAACCATGCTATATGTGTGGATTTAACTGTGGTTATCATGATCTAAATGTATGCTACTATGGAAGACAAATGGTTAATTTGTAAAAAACTCAAACAGTTAAATTTCACCATATAAAAATGAGGTTGTTACAATTTTTACAGGCTTTACTGTTTTTGATAGTGAACATAAATTTACATCTGCATCCTAACTCAAGCTACTACTACTGTCAGCTCAAGCTGCTGTCAAATGTGCATTTCTAAGAGACAAAAATATTATTAATATTGGAGCCTGCACTGCAAACTGTGCTGAAGATATGCATCATCAAAGTCAGGCAGCACAAACCTGTTTCATAATTTGAAACAATATCTCTCATTAGAACATGCAGAAGCTAAGAAATTCATTTTTTCTATTAAAATATTTATTTTTAGGAAAATAAATTTATTTAAAGGGAAAATGACTGGAAAAGTGTAAAGAATTAAAAATCGTGAAGTGTTTGTCATGTTCTGACCATAAAGAGTAATTTAAAACCACAGTTAATGGTCTGGTTTCTACTAAGGAGCAAAAATCTGCCTTGAAACTTGAATAAAGAAAGATTTTGCATTTATCGTGATAATTACAGATATCGACTGATCTGAAAAATGTTATTGTGATAATTTTTTTGGCCATATCGCCCAGCCCTATCTGCTACTATCTATCTGTCTATATATCTATCTATCAGGCTTGCTGCAGTAGTCAGTGTTACCAGTATCACACAGTGTTCGGTTGTACAGCAAATACATTACTTGCTGAACACCGTACCGCCCCCACTGTCGGTGTGCTTTTTTTTAAGAAATAAAAACATTTAGTTCAGTTGGACAAAAGCATCTGCTCTACTCCATACAGCGCATGCTGCAGAGCCGCAGCAGGAGTCAGATTTCACTGATCACGTGAAGAGAGTGAGAGAGGTGCTTTCAGTGCGAGCGTATCAGGTGTGCACGAGCATGAAGGTGTGTGCTGCAAAAATGATGAGGAAATGATAGCGGATGGCATGTGGTGTATGCCATGCCTTGATTTTTCTTTTTTGTTAATAAACGTCATACATGGTAGTTTGTCATTGTACTGTTTTATTGTTGTTGTGCTTTTCATTAACACTAATAATGAATCCATCTTTGAAGCATTCGTTTTAGTCTAAGAAAGTAAAAGGTGTATAGATGTAAGTGCAACAGACAATTATCTTTTCTTGTAAAACATGACACCAAGGTCGCAAAATCGAAAGTGTCCAAGTAGTTCCTTTTCTTTTTTCTTTTCTCGCTCTGTTCTGTCCGCACCTGTGATCTCTGTCATCAGTTGTGTCCAAGTCTGTATGGCTCGGTGGCTCGTCCTTTCCACCAGCATCCTCTCCCTCCATGCTTTGTTTTTTAAAGTAATCCGCTATCGACTTTTTCTTTTTTACGACTTAATTCATAAACTTCCTCAATTCATAATTTGCACCTTTCATGTACGTGACTGATAATGCAAGTGCAGGTAGGCAGACTCTCGCACAAATGCAACCAGGTCAAATTTTAACTCGCATTAAAAAAAAAAATGGTTGCAGTCTAGAGCCTAATTTTATTCCTGTAATGGCAAAGCTGAATTTTCAGCATCATTACTCCAGTTTTCAGTGTCACATGATCCTTCAGAAATCATTCTAATATGTGCTCAAGAAACATATTATCAATGTTGAAAACAATTGTGCTGCTTCATATTTTTGTGGAAATCATCATACTTTTTTTTTTTTTTGATGAACTGAAAGTTCATAAGCATTTTCTTGATAGAGAATTTACTTTCGCAACAATGTAAAAATATTTACTGTTACTTCTAATCAATTTAATGCATCCTTGCTGAATAAAAGTATACATAAAAAAAATCTTACTGACCCCAGGTATTTGAATGTTAGTATATAAAGGATTTGCATCTATTTCAATAATTTGTGTTCATTTTTAGTTCCCCTGGGTGCTGAACATGGAGCCGTACACAGTGTCAGGAATGGCCCGTCAAGATTCAAGTGCAGATCATGGAGAGAACGGGAGAGGGGGCGAGGCCGGATCCGGGGGATCGCCTCGGAAGAAGGTCACCATCTCTGAGAACTATGAACTGGTGGGAGTGGTGGTCCACAGCGGACAGGCCCATGCAGGACACTATTACTCATTCATCAAAGACCGCCGGTGAGATTGCAAGAGAGAGTGTCTATTGATGTGTTTTTGGGGTTTTCTGGGTGGATGTTCAGGGTTTACTTGCTGGACCAAGCTAAAGGAGAGAGTTTGATTACTTGGTTTGAGAGTTGATGAAGATGGTAGTACACTTCTTCTTATCAGGCCTTACCATTTACACAAGGATTTTCCAAACCGGGATGTGTGAGTTGATTAATATCTAGTTTAGTTATGAAACTCTAGGCTGATAGATCCTATACATGCAGTCTGCTAGCAATAACATAATTTACTGCATGGCACAAGTTGATTGGCCTCTGCTGCTTCACAGCAAGCTAGCCTTGCAGTTCTTCTGAAACCCTCCACCTCCCCAGCTCCACCTGTCAAGATCTGCTACAGGATTTATATGTGCTTATTCTTGCAGCAGCAGCATATTTTACATGCTCAAAGCAGCATGTCTGTGTATCTGCTGACAGTAGCTGTTAACCTACATCAGAGGACTGTGAACATGTTAACATGTTGTTCAATTATTGACATGCTAATTTCTTTGGGGGTACTTCAAGCAAATATTTTAGGTTTTATTTAAGGGCTTTGGCTTCAGTTTGGGAATCACTGATCTACACAAACGATAAGGGAAGAATTGGATTCTGAGTTTAATGCTTGAGTTTATTTCTAGGGAACAAATCCCCAAAGTATGAAAAGTAGTAAGAGATTACGGCATGCATCGTGTCCAAGAGGTCTTGTGTTTGAACAATACATAAATGAAGTTCTGCAGTATCTATTTCCATAATACACAGTCTATATATAGGGCATACTTCTGCAAATGTAATATCTGAAACATGTTTCTGGGAGGTCTTTTTGCCCCTATGTGTGTATGTATGTGTATTTATGGGTCTTCGGGGGGGCCATGCTTCTGTTTTTGGCAAGAGTGTTTTTATGAGAGCCTTAAACTGTCCCAGATGCTTGGCAGTGTGATGGCGCGTTAAAATGGCAAGTTTTTTGAGGGAATGAAGGAATGTTTGGGTGACCAAGGAGAACTGAGCAATGTTTGTAATGTGTGTTTTTCAACGCTTTATTCTCTTTTAGGGGTAGTTCACGAGGACGCTGGTATAAGTTTAACGACAATGTTGTTGAAGAGTTTGACATGAACGATGAGACTCTGGAGTACGAGTGTTTTGGAGGAGAGTACAGACCCAGAGTTTATGACCAGTGTAAGTTATTCATATTTCCTTAAATCAATGTAAATGAATGATGTCAAAAATACTGGAACTTCAGCACCAAGTTGATCAAATAAACTTTGACTGTAAAATCTTTCAACATGAACACAAAATGAGGCCTAAAAATCTGTTTATTTTTACTGTGGTAACCACAAAGCATTATTCATGTTATTGACTGGTGACTTTTTAACATTTATTTTGTTTGACTTAATATATAAAAAACATTGACACAGTACATCTTAGATGGATTAAATGTCACATTGTCATCGTCATTATCACCCATGGTGTTCATATTATTATATTAATATTTTGCCACTCTGTTCACATGCTATAGCTAACCCCTACCCGGATGTGCGGCGGCGCTACTGGAACGCCTACATGCTGTTCTACCAGCGCATCAGTGACCAGAACTCCCCCGTCCTGCCCAAAAAGAGTCGAGTCAGCATCGTGAGGCAGGAGGCAGAGGATCTCTCACTGTGAGTTAGCGTTTTACTTCCTCCATGAACATTGGAATATGGACTCTCTCATTAATGTTCATAATCCTTCACCTCAGGTCAGCCCCATCCTCTCCAGAGATCTCACCCCAATCCTCCCCACGGCCACCCCGAGCCAACAATGACCGCCTCACCCTGCTCACACGCTTGGTCAAGAAAGGAGAGAAGAAGGGTCTGTTTGTGGAAAAGATGCCTGCTAGGATCTATCAGGTAGAGATTTTAAGGCCTTTTCATGCATTGCAATTCCAATGTGACTAAAAGAAATGTTCCAGGTTGAGTGGATGTTAAGGTCTGACAACATCATACTATACTATAACTATAATTATATTATTCATACAGTGTTTCAGACATTTTTGTTGTTTTCTCAAAAAGTTCACAAAAATTGACTTTTGGATCTGTATAGATGGTGAGAGATGAAAATCTGAAGTTCATGAAGAACAGAGACGTTTACAATAGTGATTACTTCAACTTCACACTGTCTCTGGCCTCTGTCAACGCGGTAAGCTCTGAGCATTCAGCCTCTTTTATAAGCACTTTGTATTTCCTGCACACAAATTTGAGCTTTATACTGTTTTTCAGACGAAGTTAAAGCATCCATCGTATCAGGCCATGGCCAAAACCAGCCTGCAGCTGGCTGTCCAGTTCCTCTTCCACACTTATCTGCGCACTAAAAAGAAACTCAGGTTGGGATGATGCTTTAGTTTATAGTACTTTAAAATCAAGGCCTGTTCACACAGGGTTATTATTGGTAAACTATTACAAAGACAAGAACTAGTGGTGACATTTTTATTTTTATTTATTATTTTTATTTTTTTAATAGTGACAAAATATATTCGTTGTATTATAATTATAAATGTTTTTTTTATTTATTAGTTATAATTGCTCATTTAAAATTAATTGCATTTGTAATGCACTGTAAATGTGCATAAAATATGAGCAATAAAGTAAAATTAAAACAATAAAAATGACTTTAGACTTATCAGTGTATTTTTTCAATGTGGGAACTCTGACGTCTTCTCTCTCAGGGTGGACACAGAGGAGTGGATCGCTACCATGGAGGTTTTGTTGTCCAAGAGTAGTGAGGCGTGTCAGTGGATGGTCCAGTACCTGGTGGCACCTGAAGGAAGGGAGATCATCAAGTGAGCAACATTATCTCTATCCCTCTATGCACACATTGGCAAATCCCCACTGGCTAGCAAAAAGTAAAACTAACCAGACTGTTCACACACAGACACAAAATATAAAAATGTCTTTATACATCTGTATATCTATATATATATAGATAATAAAAAATACAAATACAGTAATATAGATAATGAAAAATAATATTAATAATGACAATAACTAATATTACTAATAATATAAAATGCACTGAATTCTAACAGAAAGCTGTGCTCATGAATATTAATCACACTGTCTGTGTTCACCTGATTTGATTTGCTGAAATCAGGTGGACGTGATAGGTGAGTGCTAGTGAATGGGATTTTCACTTGTTATTTCCGCCAGCAGCCCTTAAAGGCTTCATTTTACATGATAGGCTAAAATAATTAATAATTCCAAAGAAATTCATTTTGACAAGAAAAAACAAAGGAAGACTCTCTTGCTATTGTATCTCTCTCTCTCTTGCTAATATCAGTCCGTTTGCACTCACAAAGTCAGAGAACACTGCAAATCAATTGATATCATTGGGAATAGTGTGTTGTAAAGACAGAGAGGGAAAATGCAACTATCTGAAGTCCAATTTGCTGCATTCTCACCTTTTTTAAATTTAGAACGGATCTTTCCATGCCTCTGTTAAACACACCAAAAAGTATCTGACACAATATAACAAACCAAGTGGTATTTAAGTGTCCAAATATGTTTTGAGGCCACTTTACATTTGACTTATGTTAAATGTTCTGTTGTACTAGTTTCTACCTTAAGAAGTAAAAAAGAAATGAAAAGCCATAAACTGTCCCAGGAGACCATGAAGGATTAGATATTCCCTCACTTTTTACCTAGTGCCCAGTTTCCCCAAAGCCACCTATCATTAACACCTGTGATTGTGTGGAGTGTAAGTGTGTGGTCATAATCATACAACTGAAAATTAATAGCATATGTGTGGGGTACGGCCACAGCTGCTTTCTGTCAACCAAAAATGTGGGCCAGTCAGGGGATGTTAATGTTTAAAGCATTTAAGCGTGATCTGGAGATGCCTGCCACGTCAAAAGGTGCTCCGGATTGGGAGTAAGGGGGGCGTAGTGCCCTGCTACACGTTTGGCTGCTTCGTATCGGATGTTAGGGCTGCCCCAATTATCACGCAGCACCTCAGCAGAAGCCAGGGAGTGTTCCCGAACGTTTTCTGATTGAGCTCTGACACACTTCCAACAAAAAAAAGCAAACGTTTCCCTTATCAATGGAGACCTGGAACTGAAATTTCACAAAAATTTTCTCCCTGGAGGGAACAATAGATCTGGCTCTGCAGGGAAAGTTTCCATAGACCTCCCAACCAGCTCAGATATGCCAGCATCCATCGTCTCTTACCACGTGTTCATGCAAAAAGTGGAAAACTGGTTCAACTAATTAACATTGTTAATGGGTGAATCTCGTTCTCTGTAGGATCTGTCTGTTGGAATGTAGTGTGCGGGAGGTCCGTGTCGTGGTGGCCACCATCCTGGAGAAGACCCTGGAGAGTGCTTTGTACTTCCAGGACGCTGGGTTGGACTGTCTTTTGGACATGCTGCTGTCTCTATTGGATAAGGATGTCCCGGATAACTGCAAGAACTGCTCTCAGTACTTCAGCCTCTTCAGTAACTTTGCTCAGAGGGTGAGAACGATGATGTCACTCTTATGGGCATCAGACTGTATATGTGAAGAAAGCTCATGCTATTCTTTTCCATAAAGAAAACAAATAGAAAGCTCCAAAAAAGCACCATAAAAGGGGCCCACACTGACAACTGATATTATGTCTTCTAAAGCCACTCTTAGGAGCTGAAGGAACAAATGTAAGTTATTCACTGATGATGTGTTTTAGGGCTGTGGGCCATGTCAGCTGCTGCTGAAACATTCTGCTTATCGTCGGATGCTTGTCTTCCTCCTGGGACCCAACCGGCAAAACAACCAGGTATTGCAGACACCTTCTGTTAACACCTGACAAAGTGTTATTTGGCTTGAGAATATTGGGGTTTACTGCTTGCTTAAAGAGATAGTCCTCCCAAAAATGAACATTTTGTGATAATTTGCTCACCCTCGTGTCATTCCAAACCTGTATGAGTTTCTTTTTTTCTGCGGAACACAAAAGAAGATAGTTTGAAGAATGTTGGTAACCAAACCGAGACTGTTCCCAACATTCTTCAAAATACTTCTTTTTTTTGTTCCACAGAACAAAACTAAGTCAAACAGGTTTGGAATGACATGAGGGTGCGTAAATGATAACAGAGCTTTCATATTTGGGTGAACTGTCCCTTTAGGTGTTCATCTCTGTGTTAATGACGTTCTGCTGGTTCTGTGTTTCAGCACCGGCGCTGGAGTTCAGCACAGGCTCGTGAGTTCCTGCATCTTCACAACACTCTGGCCCTGATCGTGCTGCACACAGACCTCACGTCTCAGAGGACAGAGTGTAAGAACACACGATTTCTGGACACACACCAAAGTTATTATCATTAACGAAAACTATTACGAGGGCGTAAAAACGTAATGACTAAAAAAAAAAAAATGTAAACAAAAAATGGAAATGGTAGTTTGCAAAAGAAATAAAATACTAATGTGCACTAAAAAGAAAATACTTTTTAATACATTTTAAAATGTAGATTTTTTTTTTTTTTGGTGAAAGAAATTAATACTTTTATTCAGAAAAGATGCATTAAATTGATCAAAAGTGACAGTAAAGACATTTATAATGGTAAAAAAAAGATTTTGAACTTTGCACTTTCCATTCATAAAAGAATCCTGAAATAAAAATGTATCATGATTTTCACAAAAATATTAAGCAGCACAATTGTTTTCAACATTGATAATAATCAGAAATGTTTCTTGAGCAGCAAATCAGCATATTAGAATGATTTCTGAAGGATCATGTGACACTGAAGAGTTATTTTAAATTGTAATAATGTTTCTTACCATTACTGTTTCTACTGTATTTTTTATCAAATAAATGCAGCCTTGGTGATTTAAAAAAAAAGTTTAGCCATTTTTAATTATTGGGGGGACTTGTCGGTATGCAGTTTTCCCTTTTGCTCACATGCCAGTGATTATTATGTTGGTTAAAATAGGTTGCCGACCCCTGGTTTAGATGTTAATGGTTCTCTGTGTGAGTGATGAGGTAACGCTGGTGTGTTAATGCACTTCTCATGTGTGTTCAGCTCAAGGAGTGTTCAAGCACGCTTCATCAGGACTGGTGGCTCCATCTTCACCCCTCCTGCCTCTACATCCAGACATCAACACGTTGCTCTTCAAAGCAGAAGGGCAGGTGTATCTCATGGAGGTAACGCTGTCTCTTATTCTCTATCTCCTGTCTCTGTTTGTCTGTACTGCACACTACTGACTGAGACATGTCTTTCAGGTGATGTTTGCCATGCGTGAGTTGTCCGGCCCATTGTCATTTCTCATAGAGATGATCACATATTGCTCGTTCTGTAACGAACCTTTCTCACTGGGAGTCCTACACTTACTCAAGGTCGGTACTCTGACTAGTTTAAACTAATTTTAATTGATAATAAATAAAATAAATAATTTATATATGTAATTTATTCATATTTATAATGTATTGTTTTTATTGTACATATTATTTATAGAAAAATATATTGTTATATGTATATTGTGTAAGGTGAAGTAATACCATATATACATAAATATACAAACCTGAAGTAATCTCTGCAGGAAAATAGTTGTTGAGCTGATCCCTGCCTGTTTTTACAAAATAAGCAAACCTACTACAATCTTCCTTATGACATGTTCATGTGACTTGTAGAACCATCTGGAAACGGCTCCTCCTCACGAACTGAAGAACGTCTTTCAGATGCTCCTAGAGATCCTGGTGAGTGATGACCGTGTGCTGTCCTAAAAACTGTTTTTGGGTAGGATATAATGATGTAACGCCCTTATTTTCTTATTTTCTCCTCTCAGATGGTAGAGGACCCTCTGCAGTCTCAGAGGCTCAAATATGCATTTGAATCTGAAAAGGGCCTTCTGGGTAAGAACCGTATCATTTGGCTCTATCAGTGTGAGTAGTTGTAAGATTAAATTAATGTGTACTAATATGTGATTCTCGTTCTTTCACAGCTTTGATGCATCAGAGCAACAATGTGGACAGCAGTCGCTGCTATCAGTGTGTGAAGTTGCTGGTCACACTGGCACAGAAGTGAGTGTAGAACACGGGGATCAAATTAGGGATACACAATATGGATATTGACATAATTGAATGTAATTGTATATAATACAATTGTGTGTTAGGTATATATGATATAAAGGTGCCATTTTGGTTATTGGCCAATATTTGATAGATAGATAGACAGACAGACAGACAGACAGACAAATACTGGTAAAAAATTTATAGCCCGAATGCACTGTAAGTCGCTTTGGATAAAAGCGTCTGCTAAATGCATACATTATTGTTATTATTATTATAGATAGATAGAAAAATGTCTACAGTTTTTCCTATTTTTAAACAATAATTCCATATGATGTGAAATCACGAAAAACAAAATGAATTAATGTACAGTAGAAAAGATAACTATTTAGTAAATGACTATTTGAATCTGAATAAATAACGTCTAATATTGTCTGCTTCCATTATTTGCCTAATAATTATGGCTGATACTATTATGGTCAGCGATAAATTATGCATTCTTAGATCTAATGTGATTAATGAACTGTCAGTGTTTCTGGCAGCATTGTTAAATGTCTTTGTGTTTCTGTTAGATGTTCTCCAGCTAAGGACTATTTTAAAGAGCTCTCAGGACATTGGAGTTGGGCAGTGCAGTGGCTTCAGAAGAAGGCAAGAGACACACACACACACACACACTCCAGTACTTCTTTGTTGTGAAATAGCATCCATTATTGAATTCCCCTTCTCTCCTCTTTCAGATGTCTGAGCACTACTGGACGCCTCAGAGTAACGTATCGAATGAGACGTCCACGGCTAAAACCTTCCAGCGCACCATCTCAGCACAGGTATGGCACTCACACTTTTTTACTTTATACATAACCAGAATAAACTCTATGTATTTGTCAAACTTGAAATTTCAACTTTACAATTTAAAGTTGAAAACTTTTGTGAAAGGTTTTTCTTCTGAAAGCTCCGAGCTCCCACTGACTGATTTGATGTAAAATGATTAAAATGCTGGGACAAATTTTTTTTTTCCATCTGCTATTTATATTTTACTTTATTTCAGCTTTATTTCAATTACTAAACACTATTTTGAGTAGTTTTAGTTCACAGCACTTTTAGGGAAAACTTCAGTTTGAATCCAAAATATAATTTGTGAAAATCTTAGGAGTGCTATTTTCCTCTCTTTCTTTCCCTCTCCCTCACTTTTGTACATCCTTCATGTTTTGCTTTCCTTTGAGATGAAATAAAAACAACACAAAAATGCTCATTTAAGCTCATTTCAAAGTACAAAGTTACATTTTCTACTGATTAAAATTATTTTAAGCTTGTATTTGATCTTAAAATGTACAAAATGTATATCTTTTAAAATAAAAAATAAATAAATAAATACTAGTGCTGTCAAATGATTAATCGCGATTAATCGCATCCAAAATAAAAGTTTTTGTTTACATATGTGTACTGTGTATTTATTATGTATATATAAATACACACACATACAGTATATATTTTGAAAATATTTACATGTATATGCATTTATATATTTACTGTATATTCTTATATTTTATATTATATATAAATATATTTTATATATAAACATAACATATTTTTCTTAATTATATGCATGCATGTGTTTGTATTTATATATACTTAATAAATATACACAGTATACACACACATATTATGTATTTTAGATGCGATTAATCGCGATTAATCGTTTGACAGCAATAATAAATACATATGATTTACTTGGAGCTAACACAGGAGGTTTAGCTAGCCACCCATTTTAGGAGTCATTAGGAGTACATGTGAACTGCTGAATGAAGTTCAGTGAATGCTGTTTTTTGTGTTTAGGACACTCTAGCTTATGCCACAGCTTTACTGAATGAGAAGGAGCAGTCCGGCAGCAGTAATGGTTCAGACGGCAGCCCGGCCAATGAGAACTCAGACAGAAGCCTCAGACAGGTAGAGCTCTGTCTGTCATTAATTCAGCAGTCCATCATCAGTTATATCATAAAACAGTGTCAACAGCGATAGAATAAAATACACTAGTGTTTAATAAATAATGACATTTACTCTTTCACCATTTCTCCCTCTCTTTCTCTCAGGGATCCGAATCCCCAATGATGTTGGGTGATTCTCGAAGTGATCTAGAAGATGTGGATCCGTAACGCTTCTCATTGTTTTTGCACATCAAAACAACACAAAAAAGTTACCCTCCGACGGAAAGATGTGGCTCTAAACAGACAATCAGAAAACTGCATTTGTTCTTCTAGGGACTGGAAATGGAGCGACCAGAAGCACCCAAAGGCCCCGTCGGAGCGCTCGCTCCTCAGGCCGCCTCGCCTGAGAAGTAAACGGAGGCGAATATCTCTTGTTTTTTTGTTTTTTTCTCTCTCTCTCTTCTGGTGGTTGAAGCCTGGCTGGATGTAATTAGAGTTCAGGTCATGCAAGTGATTTAGATGTTTCTTCTGACTTGAGTTCTGTCAGACGAGTGAGACTTAATAAAAACGGAGGCGTTCGTTTCCTTGACGTTTTTACGCCGAACTACTACTATGGTGCCAGACGGGGCGTTTTAAAAGAAGTCAGCGTATATTTGCCAATGTAATTAAGTAGATACTATTCATGAGAAATGTAAAGATGTGTTCCATAAGTGTAATTTCAAATGTAAAATAATATTTTTAAGAATCCTTTACTGATTGCCAAGTCTCTGAGAGTCAAATAATCACACCGTTTTTCCCTTCTCTTTCTTGCTGGTATTTTTTTAAATGCACTTTAAATTTGAATTCAATTTGAGACAAATTCATCACGTGGAGACAATTGGACGGATGTCCTTCGCTGCTCTCTGTCCATCGATTTTCTTGGATTGGAACAGCGTGCAGCAAAAGACACAAGCTGTTTACGCCAGTGCTAGACAAAATATGATGGCGGACATTGAGGACTGACCTTACAGCAGAAGACATATTGCATCAGCAGAAAGGTCCGAAGACACATATGCAACACACAGAGACGCTACTGTCCAACGAGTTTTTTTTCTTCCTGAAAGACAATGAGTGCTACAATCAGTAGAGTTTGTCATTGAGAAACTGTCTCACTCTTTCATTTCGTCTGTTTTGATGTTGTCTTGTGCCGCTCTGGTATGAAGGTCTAGGGACGTGAAGACACTTTTCAGGGTTAATTTAGCCAAATTTGTCTCTTTTTTTTTTTTGTTGTTGTTTGTTTGTTTCTTTGCCTGCATCTTTTCTGTTCAGTCTGCCTTACGCAATGCAAATCGAATGACAAGGCGAGGATGGGGTGGAAAGTGGTCAAAGTGGGAGGGGGAGAGAAAGACGGAGGTTGTTGGAGGGACCGGAAAGTTCTCACAGAGTAGTAAAGTGCCTTTACTCGACTCCTCCCCTACGCCACTCACGTCCTCGCCTTGAGACAAACCAGTGGACACGCTGTGCTACACAAATGCCTGAACCTACTCAACATTATGCTAACAACGCACACACGTATACTCGGATGGCTCGGCTGAGCTCATCTCAAAGCGCCATATGAGGACACAGATGGCGCCTCGTGCGTCACGGCCCCTTGTTTGAGCCAGGCCTGTGATGTCCCTCTTTCAGGTAGTCTGCAGGGTGTTTAAGCTGCTGTTTGCTGCTCATTTTGTATTTAGATTAGAACACTTAGTGACATTGCTTCAATGTTTACAGCGGAAAGACCTCAATGCCACCTCACACAAAAGTTAGTGCTGCTTTTTACCTCACAGTCATCTGCTCTTCGCAACTTTCACATTGACGCTTTTTTTGCCACGCTTCTGTGCATGTTTGTATGTGTGAGAGACTTTTTTGCTGGAAAAGAACTGCATAAACTGGCCAAAGAAGCTGGTTTATAAAATAAATCTTAAACCAGCCTAAGTGCATTTGCTGGTCTATGCTGGTCTCTCAGCCCAGCTTAGTTGTGTTTAGGTGGTTAAGTGTCCAAAAACCATTTAATACCAGCCAACAGACCAGCCTGAGCAGGCTGGAAGAGCAACTAAGAGAAGCAAACCAGCCTAGACTGGTTTAAGATGACAGAGCCAGCCGACTTAGCTGGTTTTGGGCACATAAACTCTAGATTGGTCAGGCTGGGAGACCAGGTAAAATCAGCACACCATCTTAAACTGGTTTAACATCTTTTAACAACATTGAGGCTTGGACACATAACCTCAAGATTGCTTAGGCAGGGAAGCCAGATAAAACCAGCGCACTATTTTAAACTGGTTTAACTTGTTTGTTTGTTTTTTTTGTTTTTTTTCAAAATTGCCAGCCTGGCTTGCTGGTTTTAGAGTGGTTTGGGGCACTTAAACACAAGATTGCCCAGACTAGGAGACCAGGTAAAACCAGCACACCATCTTGAGCTGGTTTATCATGTTTGTTTTTTTTCAACAGGCCAGCCTGGTTTGCTGGTTTTAGAGTGATTTTGGTACTTAAACTCAAGATTGCTCAGGCTGGGAGACTAGGTAAAACCAGCACACCATCTTGAGCTGGTTTAACGTTTTTTTTTTTCAACAGGCCAGCCTGGTTTGCTGGTTTTAGAGTGATTTTGGTACTTAAACTCAAGATTGCTCAGGCTGGGAGACTAGGTAAAACCAGCACACCATCTTGAGCTGGTTTAACGTTTTTTTTTTTCAACAGGCCAGCCTGGTTTGCTGGTTTTAGAGTGATTTTGGTACTTAAACTCAAGATTGCTCAGGCTGGGAGACCAGGTAAAACCAGCACACCATCTTGAGCTGGTTTATCATGTTTGTTTTTTTTCAACAGGCCAGCCTGGTTTGCTGGTTTTAGAGTGATTTTGGTACTTAAACTCAAGATTGCTCAGGCTGGGAGACTAGGTAAAACCAGCACACCATCTTGAGCTGGTTTAACGTTTTTTTTTTTCAACAGGCCAGCCTGGTTTGCTGGTTTTAGAGTGATTTTGGTACTTAAACTCAAGATTGCTCAGGCTGGGAGACTAGGTAAAACCAGCACACCATCTTGAGCTGGTTTCTGTTTTTTTTTTTTTTTTTTACATGGAAAGCCTGGTTTGCTGGTTGTAGAGCGGTTTGGGGTACTTAAAATCAAGATCGGTCAGGCTGGAAAACCTCATAAAACCAGCAGACCGTCTTAAACTGGTTCAACATGTTTTTTTTTGTTGTTTTTTTCAACATGGTCAGCCTGGTTTGCTAGTATTAGAGTAGCTTGAGGCACTGAAACTCAAAATTGATCATGCTGAAGGCCTGGTAAACCAGCAAACCCGTTAAGGCTTGTTTAAGCAGTTTTTTTCAGTAGGGTCTTTGACTTTTTGTCTCTTTCTCATGGTTTTGGCCTCTAATAGTCCGCAAAACACTGCAGTACTCACAACTGCCTTTATGCTTTGAATCAGTAAATGGTTCATTGCTAATTCACCGCAGCAGATGTGGAAAGCGTTTGGGACGATTAGTTAAGACAGGTTTTAGGATGACCGGAGGAGTATTTTGAAACGTTTCAGGGCTGAAAGCACAGTGTTCAGTTACAATTTAGGGGAGAATTAATCGGATCAATGCCTAAACACAAGGCATCTTTCTTATTTTGCTGAAATACGCACATTTGCAAAGATATCACACTAATTTCAGCTCAACTGCCTGCTTAGGTTTTCACTAAAGGAGCCCGTAAGATACGGTGGGATTACAGTATATACTCAGTGCTGTAGAGTCTTCTTTGAAATATGGTGTACTTGAGTGAACAGGGTGTTAAAACTATCAACAAATCTGATCCTCCCTCCAATCAATCTTTTTTAACCTTTCCTACACCTGTAGATGCTGTACCAACCACTCGGTAGATCTGTGATTTCATTTCTGCTGCGAGTGTGTATGATGTGTAAAGGAATCAGTTAATGCATGTTAAAACCACATTTTAATTTGTACATCAGAGTTTGACAATGAAAACATTTGATATAAAAAAGGAAAAACTGGAATGCACAACTTTTCAGACTGTGTGATTTTGTCTGAAGTTGATTTTAGACCATTACATGAAGTTGTCAAAGTTTGTAATAAAAAAATATACATTTATAAAAAAGAAGTACACTCTTATACACAGTGCACATGCATAATAGTAGATAACGCTCTTGCCAAAAATAGTAAAAATAGATTTCTTTTTCAATTCAGAATGTGTAAATATCAAAATGAAAAGTGCTGGTCTAAATACAGTCAAAGTATTGGAACATTTTAAATATATTGGCTTATATTGTTTATTTCACACACGCAGCTGTCGTTAGCTGTCATCAAATGCTCGCTTTACCACTGTTAAATGTAATTTTTAGCAAATCTCAAAATGAAATTTATTTTAATTTTGTGTTTTTTATTATTATTTAAACAAAATAGTATAGCATTTCATAGCCGTAACAAATTATTATCGTCAGAATTCTAATATTAATGCACTGATGCATGTTTCGCAGTTTAAAGGCCTTTCAAAGCGTTTCAAGTGTTATAGTGCCACTTGTTGAGTGTCTAGATTGGATTTAGTTATATACAGAACTGGTTACAATGCACTTCTCTCGTGTAATATTGTATAGTGACAGAACTGAGCTCAACTGTGTAACACCTCCTATGTGTTATAGAAATCATGTCCATGGTTACGTATTTAGAGAAGTGACAAAAGAGGCACACATATCCCTCAGTGGTCAGATGGCTGGTGGGACGGGCGGTGCCTGCAGCAGGTGGCGATGGCAGTCCCTTTATCTCCTCCAGATGTATGAACTACACAGGTGTTTCCAAAAGCAAATGCCCCACGAACACCAGCACCACGCGACAGACCCTGACAGCCTGTCAGTGTCCACGAGTCCTCACATGAAACCTCCACCTGAAAGAAATGATGCAGGTTAATGCTGCTCAGTGATCAGATACACCAAATCAAGTTTAAACTGCAAATGTTATAAATGTTAAAATCTGTGCATTAGTTTTTATTTTTGAGTCGATGGAAATTTCTTGTGAGAGTAAGTCACCTGCTCACTGAGACCTGTGGGGCCGTGTTCTTTCAGCCGGCATTCCAGAGAGGATGTGTGACAGCAGGATGCGTATGACATTTCACCCCTTTTAGCAGGACATGCCCTGCGGCTGCCATGTAGAGGTAGATCAGAGTCTGATACATCTCCAGATGAAGAGGAAGAACTGCAGCCTGCAGGAAAAGATGACAGTTGTATACATAAATGTTCACTGAAACAAATAAGTTGTCATGAAGTTAAGCATAGAGAACTCAATTCAAATTCATTTTCAGCTGCAGTGACAACAGAAACTTCACTCATTAAGTGAATTAAAGGAATAGTTCACCCAAAAACGAAAATTTACTCACCCTCAGGCCATCTAAGATTTAGATTAGTTTGTTTCTTCCAACTGAAGAAATTTAGCATTACATCAATTGCTCACCAATGGATCCTCTGCAGTGAATGGGTGCCGTCAGAATGAGAGTCCAAACAGCTGACAAGAACAACACAATAATCCACAAGTAATCCACACGACTCCAGTCCATCAATTAGCGTATTGTGAAGCGCAACTGAAAGAAACAAATACGTCACACGTCTCTATTGATGATAATGCTCCAGTGAAAAGTCGTCTCGTCTGAATCAGGAGAGAAATATGTTGTGAAAACAGTCCAAAACAGATGTACTGCATTATTATGCAGCTTATTAATAAGCATTATTATACGTTTTAGACTTGTAGGGTATTTCGGCCAGAATTGATGGTTTAAAGTTAAAACATCCTAATGATAGATTTGTCTCTTAAAAATATACAGCTTTTCACTTCACGAGATGTTAATTGATGGACTGGAGTGGTGTGGATTACTTGTGGTTTATTCTGATGTTTTTATCAGCTGTTTGGACTCTCATTCTGACGGCACCCATTCACTGCAGAGGAGCCATTGCTGAGCAAATTATGTAATACTAAATTTCTCCAAATCTGTTTGGATGAAGAAACAAACTCATCTACATCTACAACCTCTAGCCTGAGGTGGAGTACATTGTAATTTTTGTGTGAACTATTTCAAAATAAAAGCTCAATAAAAAGCTCACAAGAAATAAAAAGGTATTAAAATGTCCAAATAAAATTATTTTATTAATATTATGAACCATATTTTTTTTATTAATAACAGATTTTATTTTATAAAATAACTTTTTTAGATACATTTTCATATTATTGTCTGGTAATTGACCAAAAGCCAACAGACTTTAGCTTCCACTGAACCCAGAACATTCCATTAATTAATGATAATTTCCTGAGTTTATGAAAAACGCTGCAGTGTGAAACCATCCGTCACCTGTCAGCTGGTGGTCTGGAGGACATTCTGTACCCTCGCCTCTCTTGGGACTCTCTAACATCTGGCACTGAGCTTTATGGCCTGTGCAGCAGCGCGCTACAGCGAACACACCATGCCCTCCATTCCCATTGACAGCAACACACTCTTTCTGCCCATCTCTCTCCTGGCAGAAAGGAAATTACTTTGGTAAGCAAAAACTACATTTACATTAGGTTGACAATTAAAACATTTATATTTTTTGAGCAACCAAAACAAACTTTCTCTGCTACTCACCTCCACTCTTTCTCCAGCTCTTGCTCCATTTTGTGAGAAACTGGAGCAGCTCAGCATCTCTTCACCGTGGCGACAGCGGGCTGTAGTTGTGGCCAAACCTTTAACAGCTGACCTCTCAGACCAAACGGATCTACAGAGCAGATCCTCTCCTGTAAGAAAACACATGCAGAGTTCAAATTACCTTACTGGTTACCAATATGTTTTGGACATTGTTAATACTGTTTAAAGTTTACCTGCAAAAATAACCAACTAAACTAGCTTGTGCCAGTAACAGACTACCTAAAACCATTTAAGACTATTTTGGAAGTTAAACCATTCCAGGGAAGAATAAAATGCTATTCATCATACAATTGTATGTACAGTATGTTATAATTAAAGTCACTAATAAATACACAATTAGTATGCAAATAGTAAAGTAAAACAATAAATATTATTCATATTAATAACAAATATTTATAAGATTATTATGTTAAATTATAAACTGTTTTCTAAACAGTACTAAAGTTTAATATTATTAAATATTAATAAGGTTTATATTATCTACAAATTCATTGCAGTCTGCTAATTACTTTAAAATAAATTAATATTTTATTTAATATTACATATTAGTTCTTTCTGGTCCACGAATCTGAATGGCTGATAAGAGTGCAATAATAGGGTGTGTTCACACTTGTAGTTCGGTTCTCTTGGTTCGTTTGGTCCAGACCAAAAAAGAAAACTAAACATTTGGTCCTGGACCACTGAGCGTTCACACTGGCATTTTTGACAGCGAACCTAAAGATACTGAACCTAAAGGCATAATGATACATTCACAACCTGATTGGTCGGGTTAAATTACATATATTTAGCGATGAAACTCACCGAACACCCCAAACAAAAGCTGTGTTCGACTTAAAGCGGCGATGCACAAACCAAACGGTATGCCATCAAAGTACCCATTCACCGATCGGTCTGCTCAGCGCCGCTTCAAGCCGAACACACCTAATGCCGACTGCTGGACTAAGCGCGCTCATTGCTGCATGTACTTATGATTTTATTTTCACCACCTGTGAACTCACGAAGAGCTCATAAAAGGTACTTTACCTCCTCGTTGCTCCACGTTTGCTCTCTGCTTATTTTGTTTTGGATACACCGCTCGTTCCGTGTCATCAAATCATGTCGCATAGCGTCGCATATTGTCATTACTTCCTGATTTTGGTTAGTTTAGAAGTATTTGGTCCGTGTTGCGCTCATATTTCATTCTAACCGCACCAGAGTTTGTTTGGAAGCGGACAGAGACCCATCATTTTAGCGGTCTTGGTCCGCTTGTTTGGTGCGCACCAGGGTTCAGATGGCAGCATTCACACTTACTCAAATAAACCGCACTAACAGAGCAATCGCACCAGGGTTTGTTTTAATCTAACCAAACAGAACTCCTGAACAGAGTGATAACAGAACTCCTTCAACCATTTCACCGTTTGTATCCCTTCGCTTGCCGTATTTCTCACAGCGAGTGTCATGGCGGATGCCCAAATCCACTATAATTTTTAGTGTCACGGAATGTAGTTTTAAGAGTTTTTTTAGACGAGAATGTACTTGTTTAGACTTCAAATATGCAGTTTGTTAATAAAGATAATGTCTATTTGAAAATTAGCTTTAACGTTTTCGGAGATGTGATTATATTTTGTTTTGCGTAAATTCTAACGGCCAGTCTTTGGTCTCATTAATCTATTATTTGTTCCGGAGCAAATAGTTTTGGCTGAGGGCAAAGTCTCATCACGTTCCCTATCAAGTTTGGTCTCTCGACACTGCATGGCTTACGCTTGGGGGTTATCCTGTACAGGATTTGGGTCTTGATTGGTCGTCCCTCGAGCAACCAGCCAAGAACAGGTTGAACATGCGGTATCTGCAGTCGGGCCGCCAGGTTGCCACCCCCAGAGACCCGCTCCCTTTTTCCCTGAGGTCCATGAGGAGATCTCGCGATTTACTTAAGAGATGCCTATTTTCACATCCAAATAGCCCCTCGTCTCAGGGCACATTCAGCCCGGGGACTGGTTTATCACGGTGGACTTAAGAGATGCCTATTTTCACATCCAAATAGCCCCTCGTCTCAGGCGCTTTCTGAGATTCGCGTTCAAGGACAGAGCTTATCAGTTCAAAGTTCTCCTGTTCTGGTTGGCGTTGACTCCGAGAACTTTTACGAAGTGTATAAATGCAGCGCTTTCCCCTCTCAGGCAGAGTGGAATTCACATTCTGAATTATCTGGACGACTGGCTCGTTATTGCTCAGTCACGGGATACACTGGAAAACCACAGATGCCAGCTTCTAAAACATCTGAAGCATCTAGGACTGACGATCAATGTGCAGAAGAGCTAGCTTCGCCCCACGCAGACCATCACATAAGACCGGCTTATGGCACTTGGACGAGTGCGCAAGCGAAGTGGCATATAAACTGCCTAGAATTGAAGGCAGTATTTTTAGTTTTGCAGTGCTTTCTTCCATTGATAAAGGATCGACACGTCCTGTTTCGGACGGACAATGCGACGGTGGTATCCTTTATCAACCATCTGGGAGGTATCCGTTCACGCTCACTTCAAAGTCTGGCAGAGCGTTTCCTCCTTTGGGCGGGCGGACAGAACTCTCTGTCGATTCGATCAGTACATGTTCCCAGCAGTCAGAACTGCGGCGCAAACATACTGTCCAGGGGTGGCCCAGTCCATGGAGAGTGGAGGCTGCACCCGCAGACTATTCAGCTGATTTGGAGCCTGTTCGAAGAAGCGGAGATCGACTTGTTTGCCTCAGAGGAGAACACGCATTGCCGGCTGGAGGGGGATGCTCTCTCGAGTCGCTGGCTCAAGAAGCGCAAATATGCTTTTCACCCAGTGAAGTTTATACCGCTAGTGCTGCACAAAATCAGAGAGGAAAGGGAAACAATGCTTCTGGTCGCGCCGAAGTGGCCCAACCAGCCGTGGTTTCCGGAGTTGATGGAGCTTTTAACGGCTCCCTCGTGGCCGATTCCGTTGCGGAGAGATCTCTTATCTCAGGCAAAGTGCTCGGTGTGGCACCCCAGGCCCGAGCTATGGAACCTGCATGTTTGGCAGATCAGCACGGAGGACAGACGCTAATTGTATCTCAGCGAGTCTTGGATACAATTGCAGAAGCGAGAGCTCCATCTACCAGACGTCTGTATAGTCTGAAATGGAACGTTTTCGCTTCATGGTGTAGGATGAGAGATGAAGACCCAGCCTGATGTAATGTGTCTGTCATTCTATTGTTTCTGCAGGACTGCTTGGATGCTGGATGCACGCCATCTACTCTAAAAGTGTATGTGGCTGCTATTTCGGCTTTTCATTTACCTATCAGTGATCGCTCGGTCGGTAGGCATCATCTGGTGACGGGTTTTTTTTAAGAGGAGTGCGGAGGTTGCGTCCCTTTTGCCCTAATATGGTACCAGTCTGGGACCTGTCCTTGGTGCTTAGTGCACTCTCTGAGCCACCCTTTAAGCCACTGCTTTTGGCAGAGTTAAAGGTGCTCTCGTTCAAGACGGCGCTCTTGCTCGCTTTGGCATGTGGTAAGAGGGTGGGCAATTTACATGCGCTGTCTACGAGCGTTGCATGTATGGAGTTTGGTAAGGATGACTGTATGGTCAGACTGCAGCCTAGACGGGGTTATGTACCTAAAGTGCTTTCTACGTCATTTACAGCGCAGGTCATCATGCTACAGGCCTTTGCTCCTCAGAATTCAGAGCCAGCGACACACCCACTAGACAAATGGCTTCGTCGTGGGCCTGGGCAAAAGGAATGTCGATTCAGGATATTTGTCTGGCAGCAGGATGGTCTTCACAGGACACCTTTGCCAGATTTTACAACCTGGAGATTCCGTCATTCGCACCGCTCCTTCTGTCTGTGCAGTGATGGATCTACAGCTTGGTATTGGTTGCTGCCTGCACCTGGCAACGCCCCCAGTCGATCAGGGTGGTTTCGACTAGGTCCGGTGGACCCAAGGCATGCCTATAATGGTATATTATAGTTAGCGACTCTCTACATGCATTCGCGAGGTTGTCGACCGCGGTAAGTGCGCTGTTTTTTTCGTATGTATCTAGTGGTATATGCTGCATATGTACATGGCTCCAGCAGCACTGCGGCCAGTCTGTGTAGTGTTATGCTTATATTACTGTGCTTAGTCCCACTCGGCTCAAGCTGGAGGGCATTTGTTTTCCCCTGAGTACCCTATGGAGTAGTCAACGGGCTCAGCTCTATTGAAGTCTGGCTCATTAGACTCTTCTCACCAGGTATGGGGAATACAACGCAGCGGGATTGTACGTGTCCCCAAACGTAAGCTACGCAGTGTCGAGAGACCGAACTTGATAGGGAACGTCTCTGGTTACGTACATAACCTCGGTTCCCTGAAAGGAGGGAATGAGACACTGCGCGCACTGCTGTGTTGTAATCCTCAGAGTCTAGTACCCGTTGACACCCCTGTTCTAAAGTAAAGTTTTTGAATTAGTAACGGAGGCTTGAGCTCAGCTGTTGAACTGTCAAACTGAGATTTGAATCCGTGGCAGAAGGAAGTAATTCTGCACAAAAGCGGGATTTTAAAGACACTCCGTTGTTGTTTTTCTTATGTATTTACACTCGTGCCGTCGAACTGTTGTATAAATGCAATATCTCACGTCTACGAGCGTGATATTGCTCATTTATCTACAGTGGTGTGAAAAAGTGTTGGCCCCCTTCCTGATTTCTTATTTTTTTGCATGTTTGTCACACTTTGTAGTAGTATCTATATTATATATATTATATTATATTATAAATTCAGGGTTATTATTGTTAACTTGAAACAAAATAAGCGTTGACTGAAATAAAATATTCAAAAAAAGTTGTCAAGTTGCTAGTTGGCAAGGCAACATCTCTCATTTTTGTATAGTTTAACATGAAGTACTAAAATAACAAACTAAATCAACTAAAACTAATGAATAAAAATTAATAAAAACCATGTAGACATTTTTTTTTAAACTACTACACTTTTTAAGATTTTATTAAAAAATATTAACAATGGTGCTAAAATAAGATTTTTATTATATTATATTACATTATTCAAAAATTACTGTAATCTGCTAATTCTAGTGTTGAATTAAAGATTGATATTTTTATTAAATATTAATAAGGTGGTTATATTGCATTGTTATAAATTTATTGCTGATTACAGTATTAAAATCGTCATCACACTGTATTTTCAGTCCAGACTACTACTGACATTGCTCATCAAGCCACAATGTCGAGTCATTTAAATTAATTCCTTGTGAACTCTGACCTATGAGTGTGGAGGTCGAGTCGGGCAGGGCGGCCACCATGTTGGGTGTAGTGAGACGGTGGTTCAGTGGCAGAGACTCTGGGTTAATGATCTGTCTGACTGAATGATGGAGGAGCTGCTGCAGAAGCTCAGCAGAGCTGGAGTTTGGACTCAGATTCAGGAGCACCGCTGCTATACCTGAAAAAACACACAGACCACAGCTGTTGTATGGACATAGTGATAAAATAAAATGTCATAGTTTTGGCATGTGTGTGCTAACCAGCAACATGTGCCACTGCCTGTGATGTTCCGCTCTTGGTGGTGAAGCAGGTGGAGCAATCGCTGGAAGCACTGATGATGTCATCACCAAGTGCGAACACATCCACGCAGTGGCCCACATTGGTGCCTGTCGTCCCAGTGCTCAAGGGCTGGTCAGCAAAATTAACGGCCCCTATGGTTATCACCTGCAGCGGTGGACCAAATGATGTCAAAAACGAATATATTGACAAGCAATTGCTTTTCTGAAGGATTCAATCCATTGTACCTCTGGCTCTGAGTCTGGTGAGTACAGACAAGCATCATCGTTGTAGTTACCAGCTGCAGCAATGAGCACTGTGTCAGATTCCACCATTTTCCTGCAGGCAGCATTGAGTGTGCGACTGAATCCCCCTACAAATGGCAGCAGTACGATCACAGGTCTGATAGGCTGAGACATCAGAGATGACTGGATATACTCCAGACCTGCAACAGAGTTGGGTCAATTAATGCAAATTCTGCAGAGATATTCTGAAGGATAGTTCATATAAGATTTAAAATATGTCAGTACTATATGCCTTCTTTATTAGGTACACCTGGTCAATGCTTTTTAACATAAATATCTAATCAGTCAATCAAATGGCAGCAACTCGATGCATTTAGGCATGTAGACATGGTCAAGATGATCTGCTGAAGTTCAATCCAAGCACCAATATGGTGAAGAAAGGTGATTTAAGTCTCTTTGAACATTGCATGGTTGTTGGTGCCAGACTGGCTGGTCTGAGTATTTCAGAAACTGCAGATCTACTGGGATCTATAGGGTTTGCAGAGAATGATCTAAAAAAAAAAAAAAGAGTAACCGAGATACACCGAAGAGCATCTCTGAACGCACAACACCTTGAACCTTCAAGCAGATAGGCTATAGCAGCAGAAGACCACAGCAGGTGCCACTCCTGTCAACGAAGAACAGGAAACTGAGGCGACAATTCGCACAGTATCACCAAAATTGGACAATAAAAGATTGGAAAAAGGTTGCCTGGTCTGATGAGTCCCAATTTCAGCTGCAACATTCGGATGGTAGGGTCAGAATTTGGCACAAACTACATGAAAGCATGGATCCATCCTGCCTTAAGTTGTATCAACAGTTCAGGCTGGTGGTGCTGGTGTAGTGTGTGGGATATTTTCATACTTCGGGCCCCTTAGTACAAAGTTTCAATGCCACAGCCTACCTGAGTATTATTGCTGACCATGTCCTTTCCTTTATGACTACAGTGTACCCATCTTGTGACGGGTACCCATCATGGATGTGAATCTCACATGTGGATGTGAATCTGCTGCAGATTTGTTGACAAAGTATGAAATCTGAGATTCACATGTGGATGTGAAATGTCATGAACCCAAATCTCTGAGAAATGTTTCCAGCACGTTGTTGAATCTGTGCCATGAAGAATTAAGGCAGTTCTGAAGTACTAACAAGATGTACCTAATAAAGTGGCCAGTTTGTGTGTGTGTGTACATATACACTGAACAAAATTATAAACACAACACTTTTGTTTTTGCCCCCATTTTTCATGAGCTGAACTCAAAGATCTATAATATATAGTTTAATAAAATTTGTATGTATATTAAATAGTTAAATACAATTATTTATGTTTTGGTATACCTGCCAAAGCTCCTGACACGGTACCCTTGCCTTGGCAGTTTAACACTTGGACACTGTTTACACTGGCACCTCGAGCTACACCCGAGTCCCGTCCACTGACCACACCTGCTATGTGTGTGCCATGACTGTCACACTGACTAGCCTGTGGGCAGAAGACCGCAGGGAGTGATGGACATATGTTTTATGACAACTGGACAGTTTTTATAGCTAATGAGAAGCATGAGCATAAAACATTCAACTACCTGTCTGTGAACTCTGACCCCATCCTCCTCTGGCACACTGTTGAAGTCCGTAACCATCACCCTGTCCTCAATCTCACGATGAGTCACTTGAACGCTTGTGTCCAAAAGATACACTCCTACCTTTGATCCGTCATCTGAATAGACACAAGTATTACAGCTCAACAGGTCAAGTAATTTATTACCAGTAAAGAAAAGAAAAAACATTTACTGTGCAAAAGAAAAAGCTTCAGACCATAATTTAAGAAGTAACCAAGTGTTTGGGAAAGGGGAAAAACTTTAGCTCACTGGGTAGTGAGTATTTTCCACTCTCATGTTTGTTTTGAAGGATGCGCTGCAGGTTCCATGGGATGCTCTGGGCAAAAATGGAGGAATCCTCTTCAATGTATTCCACATGGGGCAGCTTTACTGCCTGCCAAAATCAAAGGCAATGGAATGAAGAAGACAGGCAATGTGTATTTTTAAGAATTATTGTAATTCCAGTACTTGTTTTCATTTTTTTTTCAGTCCATCAGACAGTTCAAACAGTATTAAATATACAATATGAAACTGCAAACATTATTATGTAATAATGTTTGCAAATTACCATGTGAAGAACATCGCTGCTCATTTTCACCAGAAACCCGTGGAAAGCTCCCGAATAAGTCAGCAGTATTTCGATCAGATATCCGCGTTTGGCGGCTTTTGCGCGGAGTCTGCGCGCGGTGTCTGTTTTACGTGCTTTAAACTGTACAACATTGCCATTTTGCCATGTACTTGTATGTGATGGAACTAAAATAAATAAATAAATATAATAATGTGCCTGATGCTCTAGGAAAAAATATAAAACTTTATTAGTATCACTCAGGAAATGACTACTTATACATGCATTATAAATTAGATTTTTTTATACTTCATTATTACCTATTAATTAAACAATCTGCATGCTGTAGACATAGTAAATGCACTTTTGCGTGATTAACAGAAAACAAACCTTTCACATATCAAAATCCGTTTCTTTTACTCATAAAAAGTACAATTTCATGTGATTAAGCCCAAATGTCCAGAATAGCCTACTAAACAATCATATAGCTGCCTCAGACACAGAAAACGCAACTATTTAATTTTGAATATGCAGCAATTTGTCCTACAAATTTTTTTTTTCCACCTAAGTATTTTCCTTAACTAAACATTTTTGTTACGGAACATGAGCTCACATGTCACCTGCGCGCGTCCGCGAGAGCCAAATAGTTGCGCGTGCACATCGGATGCTGATGTTATCACTTTGGCCAAAAACAGATTCACGTCGTCCTCTGTTGGCCAAATAGTGGTATGGGTGAACAGCTAAAAGAGTCGCAGTCGAATTAAACGTGCAAAACACAATACAATCCATATGGTCAAAGCAGTAGGCTATTGTTGTATCTGTCAGTGTTGACTCGTACTGAGTGAAGAAAAAAACGCATTTTGTGAAAGAAAGAAAGAAACCGGAGATGTGCCCCAAACACCATGATAAATGCTGATCTAAAATAATTAATACTTAACTTTTTCAGTTATGTAACCTGATTGTAGTATTCAAGAATTATTGAGATTGGTGTGGAAAATGCAAGAATCAAGGGCTGTCAAAAGTACAGGTAACCCTTTGCTGAAGAAGCAACGATGATGTAGCCTAATTCCTTTTTCAGTATGACGTGCTACAACTGTTTGTAAACGATCTGATTATGCAAATCACATGCCAGAGGCTTGGGCATAATGGTTGATTAATAATCTAACTGCTGAATGTTTACACCTGTGTGTGTGTGTGTGTGTCGGGTTTTGCACATTGTAGGAATCAAATTACCCCAGAAAAGGAAAAGAAGTATCGAACGATGTCTCGTTAATAAATACAGCAGAAAATGAGTCATATTACAGTCCACCCACACACATTTTATACGTTTAGCCTACTATTCCTGCACAGACATGTACCATTTCCTAACATGAAACCTGTAAAATGAAAGTGTCAGTTAGTTGGAAGCTACATAGGCCTATATTGTGAAATATAGATCTAACAAATATCAATAAATTAAATTAAAGTAGTAAAACTGTATATATATCATTTTAATATATATATATATATATATATATATATATATATTTATATTTTTTTTTTTCAAAAAAGACGAAAGTAAGACTTTTTACACGGAACATGAGCTCACATGTCACCTGCGCGCGTGCGCGAGAGCCAAATAGTTGCGCGTGCACATCGGATGCTGATGTTATCACTTTGGCCAAAAACAGATTCACGTCGTCCTCTGTTGGCCAAATAGTGGTATGGGTGAACAGCTAAAAGAGTCGCAGTCGAATTAAACGTGCAAAACACAATACAATCCATATGGTCAAAGCAGTAGGCTATTGTTGTATCTGTCAGTGTTGACTCGTACTGAGTGAAGAAAAAAACGCATTTTGTGAAAGAAAGAAAGAAACCGGAGATGTGCCCCAAACACCATGATAAATGCTGATCTAAAATAATTAATACTTAACTTTTTCAGTTATGTAACCTGATTGTAGTATTCAAGAATTATTGAGATTGGTGTGGAAAATGCAAGAATCAAGGGCTGTCAAAAGTACAGGTAACCCTTTGCTGAAGAAGCAACGATGATGTAGCCTAATTCCTTTTTCAGTATGACGTGCTACAACTGTTTGTAAACGATCTGATTATGCAAATCACATGCCAGAGGCTTGGGCATAATGGTTGATTAATAATCTAACTGCTGAATGTTTACACCTGTGTGTGTGTGTGTGTGTCGGGTTTTGCACATTGTAGGAATCAAATTACCCCAGAAAAGGAAAAGAACCTACAATGCAAGGCAAGCCATTGGTCCAAACAGTTTAAAAGGATAGTTCGCACAAAAATGAAAATTCCGTCATCATTTATTCAGCCTTATGTTGTTCCAAAACTGTAAGATTTTCTTCTGTGGATCATATAAACATGGGTAAATGATTTTAATTGATTTATTCATTTATTTTTTGGGTGGCCTGTCCCATTCATAAAAATATGCCTGAATGAGCATAAAAATGCAGAAATGTTTGTGAGGTTCATGTTTAGGGTTAGAGGATAGAAAATACCATTAGCTCAGTATAAAAGCAGAAGTCGATGGATATGGCATTTAATTTGTGCCAAAAAACTATCAACCACATATCTATGTCTACTGTTATTGCCTGTTGTCTTCCCTGTCATGTGTTCAGCTTTCTATCATGTGTTCAGCATTTTATGCTTTATGAGTTACTGCTCTCAGTGAATGTTCTGCAGACCATTTTGCAGATATCCAGGTAAACAAACAGAACCTATAAATATGTTCAATGATGAGTTTTCTAAAACTTTTAGATGCATTTATATTTCTAAACGTGAGCGAATCTACAGTATAGTCCTTTTATCTTCATGCTTTGTCATAATATTCAGAGTTTTAGAAAGATTTTGAAAGCTCATTAGTGGAAAAAAAATCTAATTGTGTTTGTTTACCTGGATAACTTTAAAATGCAATGCAAGGTGTTCACTGAAAGCAGTAACTTATAGCGTAAAACAAAGCTGAACACATGACAAGGAGGACGACATAAGCAGATAACACAAATGAAACAACAGCAGTAACAGTAGTCATAAACAAATGTATTGTACAAAGCAGTCTACACTTTTTGGCACAAATGTAACACCATTTTTGGAAACAGTCTTCTATGAAGGACAGAACAAGCTTGGCAAGGAGGATGACAGAACAAGAGGACATACATTTATAGATGTTGATGAGTATGTTTTTTGTTAATCTTAACACATAGGCACTGACTGAAGACATGGACAAATGTATAGCACAAAGCAGTTGACTCCATTTTGGCACTAATGGAGCCTCATAAATGGAAAGTCCCCACCATGACAGAAAAATCTAGCATGTGTGAGTACTTATATTTTGTGGCCGAGATGATTCACTGTTCAGTATTGCAACATGCATTTTTTACATGACTTAAAAATATCTAGAACTGGCTCAAAAATGATCACTTTTACACATTAAAGTAATATAATTTCAAATACTACATTTAAATCATCTAAAACATATAAATTAATTATAATTATTGTGCTGTCTCAAATGTAAAGGATCTCCTTCGAAGGAGCATCATAGACAAATATAAAAACTTCACACCAAGCAGTTCCTCTTTCAGTGTCCTTTGGTCTTCATGGTGACATGAGTCAAGGTCACAAGTATTTCATCACCTAATGTTTAAACTTTTCCCAGCCTTATTTCCCTGAGAGTGGAACGATTCTATTATCATATGCTTTTGACAAAGTCATGGCCAGACCTTGTGACATAAACATACTTAACAGCCTAATGTAAAATGTGATGACATAAATTACATGCATAAATGTTTTGTTATTGTACAAGTTATTTAAAAAAGAAAAACAGTATGACTACATAGGTGTCTGGCTAATCTTGTTTTAAGTCATGTGTAGATGACGATTTGGACATTAGGAGCAGCAGGAACTATTCACTCTCCAGCTCAGATGTGTAGTAACATGAGTCCTCCACTTTCCCATAGTACATCTCTCTGTTGGGGTCTGGTCGTGGAGTTCTTCTGTTTGTCAGAGGAGTGCTGGAGCAGGCCAGAACACTGGGAGAGCTTCGACATGTGTGGAGGACTATGACACGCTCCCGGTGTTTGTTCTCTGTGTGGAGTTTTGGATCTGTCGATATTTCTACTTCTTCATCATCACAGAAGCCAGCCAAAGGAGCTGTTATTGGTTTCGTTGGACTGTGACAGGAACATAAATGTAAGTTTTATGCTACAGTATTTCAATGTGCATATATATGCTAACTGTAAACGTTTTACACATTAAAGGCAGAGTAAGTGATTTCTGGTAGCCAATGTTGATATTTGAAATCACCAATACTGTTATACTGAAGAAAAAGTCAACTACATCTTCGATGACCTGAGGGTGAGTAAATTACCAGCAAATTTTCACTTTTGGGTGAACTATCCCTTTGACATTACCTGAAATCCCTTTGAAATGACATAACACCTGGGGCCAGTTGTTCAAAAGTAATCCAAAATCCGATCAGATTACTTTTGAAGATTTACTTTTCTGATAGCTGATTGGATCAAAAATTGAAAATGGGTTGTTCAAAAGAAAAAAAAAGGATTCTGAAATTGGATTAGATCCCAAAATCCAGTCTTGATTTTGATTTGGATCAAATCGTTAGTTTGTGTTGTTGTTGTTCAAAACGTTTTAGTAAGATTGGGATACCTTTGATCCAAAAAAAAAATCAGGATTATACTGATCCCAGCAGAAGGGTGGATTTCAGGAATAAAAATTTAATAAAATTTTAAAACTGGTCCAAAAATTTCTTAAAGTTATATTTATTATATCTTCTCGTATTTATTTTGCTTTATTTTTGTAATGTGTTTTGGAAAATCATAATTTTTTATAATATAATATTGTTTTCAACTGCTTGCTATTTACAAGGATTACTATAAACTGATTTTTTGGTCAACTGTATTAAAACGAGACCAAAAATTTAACTAAATGTCACAAAAATGATTAATTATTAACCCCCAACAATTAAAAACAAAAACATTCAAAAATGTATTGTCCCCGTTTTTTAATTCATAGATAATAAAAAAATGAGATTTCAATGATATTTTGACTCAAATAAAGAATGTTCCCGGTGTTCAGAAATCTGGGGCCTCATTTATATAATGTTGAGTATAAACCGTCCTAAATTTGTTCTAAGATCATTTCTCAAAAGTGCACAAGTGCGATTCAGAAAAAACGAACGTGCGCACAAAAACACGTGCGTATGCCTCTTTTCCAGATGTGACATTTATAAATCGCAAATGATCTTGAAATTGTGCGCAGCTGACTGGTGTCAGATCTCCGCCTTGTAAACGCCCCCTAATTAATATCATTACCATATAAAAGAGCACACGCCAATATCCGAATTTCTATGCTTGAGAATGAC